TACTAACAATAAGTCCAGAAAAAGAAACACAACAAGATCTGTGCTCCGCACGCTCCGTCGAGTTGATCGAGGCACATGCCCAGAGCGGACGAAGTGGCCGGTGTGACGAGGAGCACTCACTCACGCAGCAATGCATATCCCGTTAGAAACAGCTCGAACAATCGTCCATGCCGACGAGCGTCACCGGAGATTCGACTGGGGATTCGCCGTGAATGAAATAAATATGATGGGATTACAGCACAAGCGAACGCACGATGTTCCGCTCCCTCGTCATGCAGCAAACGGTAAACTTTTCATCTGATGGCTTCGACTACGTTGGCGTTTGACCTTTGCAACGTCCGAGACACTGGAGCGGCGAGACCCCGGCGATCGGTGTACGGTCGTCTTGGGTTTCGCAACCTGCTTGACGATGGCAGAGAGGTCCGACTCGCTTCGAGAACGAGCCCGGTGAGGTGGTGCCGCCCTCGCCTTTGTGATCAAGTACACCGACGACTCGGAGTGGCGTACGTCGAGGTCGACGACTTCGACGTATGTCTCCGTCGTTTGTTTGAGAGTCTTGCGAAAGTTCTTGAGGCCATGGAGCGGGTCGTAGTACCCCGGGAGGGCGTGAAACGTGCCTGCGAACGGGTTCTGGCGGAGTTTCTTTCGCATTTCGAGCTCGGGCGCAAACACAATGTCGCCTGCAAAATAGGCCGCGCCGCGGTTGCCCGCGCTTGGGGCGTGGTGGAACGACCCGACGAACGGGTTGTACGACGGCAGCTGCGCGAACACTTGGCGCATGTTGTAGGAAAACAAAAAGTGACAAGGTCCTCAACGCCCTCTGCCATCTTGAAGTTGCCGCTGGCGCCACCGTGTGCAACGCCATGTGAATTCGCCTCGTTGGCTCGAAAATGCCCAATCGCCGCCTGGAACACGTGCACATCGGCTTGATCGGCTCAAACGACTCCAGCAGCACGTCGTCGGCACCGTCAACCGCGGTGGACAGCGGCCATCGAATGGGGCGGACGTGATGCGGCGGTAGGGCCCCCCCTCGCGACACCGCTTGTGTGTGGTTGTTGTGTCGAGAAGGTGCTGTGTCGCCGTGCAAAGACACACGCGGGCGATGCACAGTACCAGGCCGGTGTCCCGTTGCAAAGGACTGTCGCGGGCATTGTCCTCCATTCGCTCGGTCGCCTAAACCGACGACGGACCCATACATTCAACGACCCGACGCACGTGCACAACGCTCGAAAACGATGTTCCAACGCCGCCGTCGAGGCACGACGACTGCCGCCATGTGCTTGTCGATCCCGTGCATGCTTCTCATCGCGGTCGCGGACCTGGTCGCGTCCGCGCAGCAGCACCCGTGCACATTGAACTTTCAAGACTCAGCTTGCACTTGGGCCATTTTCGTCGTGAAAACCCACCAAGAGTCGGTGGTACCGAGCCATTTGGCGCGCATCTGTGCTTGGGTTGGAGGAGATCGGGGCGCGGGGCGTCGTCGCCCTGCGCTTGCCTGATGGATTCGCATTGTTGATGGCGGAGAGCGAGAGGGCGGGGACTCATATTTTCCACACTTTACCGTACAGTATACGGTAAAGTGGACTGGACGACGGTGTGGTTGGGGTGTTTGTGGCTGGAGCAATGCGATCGTGTGTGAACTCGTGGGCACGTCGTGCATTCGCCGGGACGTAGAGGACGCAGTGGCGAAATATGAGGGCGGCGCGATTCCCCGTCACTGGCATGTAGCAATGACGACAGATGTGCTGGAGAAGTGCGTGGAATCGCGCGAGTGGCCACGCTTTGTGCGTGTCCATCAGAATCGCGTCGAAGCGGGCCTTTCTTTGTGCAGGGATGACATGCGCCACGATCTTCGACACTCGCGCGTCCGCCGACGAGCACGTCAGCAACATCACGCTACATCACACACACGGCTTGTGGTGTGACTGGATGCCCCACGAGGACGGAGCACTGCACCACCACACGACAGGACAAGCCGCAAGACTCCAGCACGAGGCAGTAAGGTCGCGCGAACCACAACAACATGAAGATGTCAGTATTTCGCCCATATAAAACCAACATTCCGTTGCTTCTATCGATTGCGAGGATGTCGAGGTGGTTTGATTGAAGCGAGGAGATTCCTATACTTCCTGCAATCCTCAAGGAACGACAAACGCGCTTGTCCCCGGCACTTCGGACAGTGAGCACGTGACGGCAGTGAGGCCACCTCGCAACGCGCTGCGGACTTGCAATCGCGTCGTATTCGAGACGACATGGGAATGTTGGTGGCTTGGTTCGAATTATGGCCAATCAAATTGGAGCATTAGGTTGCGAAAATTGAATCCTCCGCGGCAACGCGCGATCGAATGTCCTCTGGAAGCGACGTACGTGATGGATGCTTGGGTCCTCGTGACGTGTAACACAACGTAGGAGTTTGACGACCACTACACAACTTCCCGGAGGGCAAAGAGGGCCCCGCTGACGAAAGCTACGGCAGACTCGACGCCTTCGGCTATCCCAGCGCCGAACGACAAACGGTCGTCGAACAAGGCCAAGTCACCGAAACGATCGAAACAGGAAGCTGATAGTGGAGTCACATGGGTTCGTGATGACGAGGCTCATGCTTGCTACGTTTGCGACGTTACGTTCTCTCTCATCAAGCGCCGACATCACTGTCGGAGGTGCGGGAATGTGATTTGCTCGGGGTGCTCCCATTTTGCCCCAGCAACAAACCCGTCCAAGCCGATGCGTGTGTGCACGACATGCAATAATGCTCTGTCCATTCGAAGTGGTGTGACTGCCTCAACTCCCGCTTCCCAGCCCATCACAGGTGCCATGTCATCATCGAAATCATCGAAGAAGTCGAAACCATCATCTGCGATGGCAGTGTCGCCTCCATCACATGCCGCACCGGCACATCGTTTGAACGATCACATTGATAGCTGGTTCATGGACGACGACAAGGGATCACCGCCGACATCTTCCATGGGAATGCCTCGCCCGGCTTCAAAGGTCCCTGCACCCAACCCGTCGGGCTGGGCCAGTGTTGGGCCACGTAATGGCAACAGGAAAGCCAACGTAGCATCTGCACCCAAGACACAGCGGCTTGCGGACCTCGTATTTGACGACATGCTACTGGTCGGGTCGGACGAAGACTTGTCGCCGTTTTCGAAACCTGCGGCCAGACCCTCCACCAACCCTCGCGCATTCCATTCCACTGTCTTCACCAACTCGGCGCACGTCGACCAGCACCTGCGAATGTACAACAACGAAATTGACATGTCGGACGAATTCGAGGCCGAGGCGGCGCCTTTAAGCCGTCCCTCCCACCGACCACCATTTCCGACGACGTATGCGATCACAGACGTCGAAGGTAGCCGCCTGAGCGATGCCTTCTTGACCAGCGACTTCAATCGATCATCTGTGGTGGTAAACGCTGTGAATACACCCCACATGGCTTCGAACGAGAGTTCGGTGAGTTATGCTGGCTCGTCCGAGTTTGCCAGTGTGCCAGCCCAAGTCTCCCCCGCTGCAGCGCAAGAACGACAGAGTGGTGGCGGGTTTGCAGCCACGATTCGACGAATTTTCGGGGGTAAAGGTCTCCATTCACCGCCAAAACAACCTGCCACGACGAGAAACGCTACGATTTCTCCTGACCAACCATCTATTGAACCCGTCGCAACGGCAGGACCACCGCGTGATGTATCCAGCGCGTCGTCATCAAACGCATGGGCCAATGCGCGCCCGTTGTCGACCTGTGCGCCGCGCCCTTTCACCCATGCATCAATTCCATCGTCCACGACCATACCTCGCTTGGACCCGACTCTACCTCATTTCGATCGGTTCAAACATAACGACGGGGCGATGGGTGGATCTGACTATGATGCACGGGATGAGTTGTTCGAGCCAGCGGCGCGGACCGCCTTGTGGATTCGTGGCGGCACCGATGAGTGTCGCAATACGTCTGAAAATCACGCCCAACCTACCGACCGGTTTAACCACCTCCCACGAGATATGATCCAGACGACCACGGCCCCCTCGCGTCGCGATACTTTCGACGACGTTTTTGAAGGCCCGCGCGAAGTTGTCAAAACGGCGGCGCAGCAACCCCAGCAGCATTCCCAAGCCGCAAATTCGACACTGACAAGCTCAAACATCGTCGACTCCACGACAAAAACTCGCCGGGACACGTTCGACGACCTGTTGGCATCGCCGCCTTCGAGTGGTAAACCAGGTTCGGCCGATCCAATGCGGCAGGCAGGATGGGCCAACCCGTACGGCAATTTCGGATCGTCAAGACCAGGACAGCTGCTAGTCGATCGTTTTTCCACCCAGCCTGTGTCAACCGGTGTGAAATCGGGATGGAGTCAACTGGCGCAGACTTCCGCCCCCACGAATTCCCGCCCATCGGACGGAGACATCTTTGGCGCGACCGTGTCGTCGAAAGAGTACGAGTACGACCCGGTCACTGGGACGTACGTGGTTGCCCTGGGCCGTTCGTTGGGCGCCTTTGCGTCCATCCCGTCGGGTGCTGTCTCTAGTGCGCCGAGGGAACATGGCGGCGGAGGTGTCGACAGCCAATCGCTTATAGTCGATAAATTGACGAGTTTGGAATCCGAGCTGGCGGAGCTCAAACTGCTACTGCGTGAGCGACGGGCGAGGTCGCCGCGCCATAGCACGGCTGCGAGCATCTTCGACGATGACGACAAGGTTCCGAACGAGCGAATGCGACGCCCACATAAACAGCCATCGCGGGCAGCCGGTCGCAATGCCGTACAACGAAAGGACTCGTTTGCCGATCTCTTCGAGTCGGAAGCGGCCAAGTTGGACAGCTTGTACGGCAACGATGCAGACGACATGCCGACTGAAGACGAAAGGCCCAACGAAGAGCAGGAACCATCGGGCGGCCGACGCAAAACAAGGAAATCGGCCCGTCATCGCGTTGAAGGGGATCACCCGTTGCCCAAGGCACACATGGACAAACTGTTTGCGTCGGATGAGGAGCGCCAAAAGGTAGTACATGGCCAGAGGACATCACGCCTTGCTGCCGCGAAATCCTCGAAAAAAACAGCGAAAACGAACAGCGACAACATCGACGCGTTGTTCCAAGACACGGCCAAGCTAGACAACTTGTACGGAGGAAGCGAGATCGAAGGCAGCGACATGGAAGGTGACAACACTCGCTCGGAAACCAAGCGCAAGTTGGCGAAGGTGCCTGACGGCGATGCTGCCTTGATGGCACCAGGCATGTCCGAACAAGGTCAGACGAGTCCTCGTCCTCGCCATGTCGTCAACATGGACGATCCATTTGCGTCGGACCATGAGGACATCGACCATGAGGATGCGTTGCCGAGTTTGAAAACGGTCGTGCAGCGTCGCAAGTTCGTGTCGGCCAGTGCGCACGTGTCCGGGAGAGAGGACTGTGAGGTCGGACCCGATGGCGTCGAGACTGAACCAACGGCCACCAATGTCAGCATGTCAAAACGCCGTTCGCGGCATGCATCTGGCATGTCAAAGGCGAACACGTCGAAAGCCGTCGACGTCATCGACGCCCTCTTTGAAGATGAGTCCATGGACTTACTGCGACCACCGAGAACCTCATCCAATGCAGAACCCCTGACCCGCCTGGCTGGCCACAATTCACCCAAGTTTGACAACCTGTTCGAGTCTGGTGGTGTGTTGAGGGCCGAAGAGTGCGAAGTTGATCAGAGCGATTCACGCGACAAGGGTGCTGTGCCCTTTGACACAAAAAGTCAACGGACCGCTGAGGTGGTGAAAGCGCAGCCGCAGATCGATGCGGGACATGGCAGTGAACCCGACGAGTCGATGGCAGCTACAAGTGCAAGTGCCTCCTTCCCTCAGTCCCAACGAACCGCATCGTCGACGGAAGGCGACATGTTGTCAGGCCCTGAACCTCCACAGTCATCGCATTTCGCACGCGTCTCTTCCGCCGATGATGAGTTGCCCAGTCTGAAGCATCGTACAAGCAGTCCGGTCGATTCTGTATTGCCATCACGGTGGAAGGCACCGACTGCAGACATGAATGGGTTCAGCCTGTGTCGGCCCCCAACCACTCCTTCGGGGGACGTCGAAGGAGATATTGGCGACGGACCTTCACATGGCGTTCACGATGATGCACCGAAAGTGACTCAGGAGCAAGCTGTCCTCAGCATGACACCTGCCATGCCAGTCGACGGCTTTGAAATGGATTTGTTCGGAACGGGCAGCGCGGCTCCCACGTCGGCTTTTGAACCCATCCGTGTCAACAACCCACCCGCAGTCGTCAACGAAAAGTTGTTCTCGGAGGACGAGTTTGGACCATCGACCCAAGACGCTGCGGCCACCACTTCTGCAACCGTCCAGGATCCAGTCGACGCTCTGTCAAGAGAACTATCAAATGGTCAAGGTTTGTTGAGGAAAGAGCTGTTCGAGGTACCAACCCCTTCGGCGGTGCTCCACCAGGAGACACCTCCAGAAATTTTGACACTCGCAGCGACCTCTCCTTCCCTCTTGGCAACTCCAGGCCAAGCGCATGTGCTAGACAAGATTGCAGACGCAATCGAAAGTCGAGCAACGACGGTGCCTGCCGCCAACCTGGATCAGCTGTACAACACTGAGGCAGACGTTGAGATCGGCGACGACGTGGTCGACCTGAACTTGGTTGATGCAGCCGATGAAGACGATCTGTTTGCATTCAAACCAAGCAAACGCCGCAACAACAAGGCAGCCCCATCTCCAGTGGCAAAACAGCGCCAGAAGGCTCCAGTAGAAGGCACGATCAAGTTGGGCCAACCTTCCGTCGCCTCGATCGTGCCCGAGATGATTACATCGGCAGGCCCACTGGAACCGGTAGGAAACGATGCTACATGGCTCGCCCTGCAAGAAGAAGAGAAACAACGCAAGCAAAACGCTCTGCGGCGCCAGCGGCAATTGCAGAAGCAAAAGGCTACGTCCAAGGGGGCGAAGAAATCATCCAAGAAGAAGCCCGATGCACAACCATAGTAATGTCATAAATAGAAGCACTTGTCCTCTTCACAGCGCCAGTCGCGTGGTGCGTGGTAATGGTAGTCGATGGCACGTTTCGAGCCACATGGTGTGCACTATCTTGGCCATGGTGTCGACTGTGGGGCGGTTGTGGGGCTCGGGAGCCCACCCACGTCGCAGCAGGTCGGCTAGTCCTGGCGCCAAGTTGTCTGGAAGTGGCGGCCGTTGGCCTTGAATGATTTCCGTGTACACATCGAAATGCGACCGCCCCGACCACGGCGCAATACCTGGCACGAGGATGTGCCACAATGTGACCGTAAGACTGTACACGTCGGCGGGGGTGCCGTACACGGCCGACTTGGATTTCCCGCCCAAGATCATTTCGGGCGCCTACGGTCGAGCGCGTTTCCATCTCGTCGTCGAAGATGCTTACCATGAAATCGACCGACCCGACAATTGTCATGGTGCCGTCGCTTTTGGGGCCGAGCAAGTTGGACTCGCCAAAGTCACTCAGTTTTAAGAGACCGTTCGTCGCGAGGAGGAGGTTGGCCGTCTTGATGTCGCTACAACCGACATGTTGACGCCTCTCGAGATGATCTGGAACGTACCGATGCAAGAGAGGTGGGTCAAAACTATGTAGATATGCCACGGCGAGGCATGCATCGAGGCACATCTTGAGTCGCGTCGCGAGATCGAGCGCCCGACCGTAGTCCGTGTCGAGTGCGACTTCGAGGGACCCCAATTCGCAGAACTCAAAGATCAAGCAGATTGCGGGCGGGACCACACACAGGCTACACGGAGATCCCGTCAAACGGCGCCATCCCCGCGCGACGTCACTTACCCATGAAATCGGACAATGTTGGGATGGGAGAGCTGGACATTGAACGACGTTTCTTTTGAAAACCGATGCACGTCCTCCTCCGTGACAAACAGCGACGTGTACATTTTAATGGCCACCGGCGTGTGCATGAGTTTGCTGTTTTGGTGCATGCTGCCCCGCAACACGACCGCCGTCGCGCCCTGTGCCACGACCGCTTCGAGACGGAGCGTGGAAAAGTCAATCATGTTCTATCCATCCAATTGTGTTACATCGAGTCACCGTCATGACCGACGTACGGATTTGAACTCTTCGATCATGAAATGCACGTCATACACCGATGTGCGTGTCGAAAACGACGACGCGATGCCTTGCTCGGCAATCTGCGGCGACCACACCGGTCGCAGTCAAGGAAAAACGATGACGAGGGGCATGGAACGCACCAAGCGGAGGTAAACTCGGGCAGGATCGTTTGTGTGCAGTGAATTGTAGTCGATGCCAAGCCAGTACTTTGTATCGGCCTACAACGATCGTCAGGTCATCGCGAACACACTCGGTGACGCGACCACAAGAGCGACTTACGCGCAGAGTGAGCATGATGGCGAGGATGAAGAACGAATCCACAACGTTCTGTACGACGCAGACGAGAATGGATCGATCGATCTCCGATCGGAACAGAAGTAGAATCGGTGGCCTGCGCCATGCACAAACGTGATGGAAATTACGCGGGAACACAAGCATTAAACTTACGCGAGAGCAACTGCCGACGTCAAGCAGAGAACGAGGTAGACGTAGTCAAACGATGCCCGGACGCAGCTCTTGTGCTTGACCCAAGTGTAAAACGCCAAGAGGCAGCAGTGGAACGCGATGAAGAAGGTTGGCACACTTCGCTCGAGGAAGAGCACACTCAGCATGGACGCGCTCACTGCAACATGCACGACGATGCTCATGACCATGACATGGTTCGATCAAACATCGTACTGAGTCCCGATAAGCTGATGGACCGATGCACCGCCGCCTTGGAAATTGATTTTTGGATCATCATGACAGGCACGAGCTGGCGTATCCTACCATCGCCCACCTCGTTGAGGAGACCGGACGATGCCATGACCGATCGTACCACGAAGTCGGCAAAAATTGAAAAAAACAAAACGTTTTGCGATGCCGCGTGAACCTCGCCACCGACATATGCAGCGCCGCCATGGACACGACGATACCGGCGAGCGCCAGCACCACGAGGACGTACCAAACGTACTCGTAGCAGGGTAGCACGAACACGGACGCTATTGCATAGAATTCAGTCAGAGCTTTGCCAAACCTTGGACACGTGTGAACTGACTGAGGTTGGTGTTCGTCCGATTTGCCAAGATCGTACGCTTGTAGTGAGTACACTCAATTGCGAGGTAGAGAGACACGCCAAATATGACGATGCAGCTACCAGTGAGTACCATTGAGCTCAGCATCGAGTACGGTGACGCGAGGATGGCCGTCTTTGCGCTGAAGTTGTCTGGAGCGGCCATACAGAGGAGGTGGATGCCGAGATTGTTGCTTTTGCGATCGACAAGATGTGCCAGCGCAAACGCAATGCTAAGCATAACCAACGTCACGAGTAACGCTACCCACATCTCGGTGGCGTCGCAGTTGCTCATGAGCCGTCGCAATGCGTGGCTTTCGAGCCACCGCCGTGGAAGCACCCGGCGGTATAGACCCGACATTGGACTTGTCGACGGGTACGTTGTCGTATGCTCCATCATCGGGAGACGTTCTCCCTTCTGGCTCATCGTAATCAACGACTGCATCGAGTCGAGGCCGAGGAGGACGCTGATCGAATTGCGCCCGTGGCGCGTGTTCGGCGTCACGTTCAAGTCATACCAGTCGACGTCTGTGAAAGAGGACAAGATGTACGGGGACTTGGAATTCGACTTGGTCAGCAAGATGCTGTCGTGGGATACATACGACCCATTGTACGACCCGGCCACCATGCCGCCGCCGTTGCTGTCGGGAACTGGTCGCGTCATTTGTTGCATGTCGAGTCAGAATGCAACGTCATTGGTGGATTCGCGAGTGGATGATTGGATAAAATTGGTAAATGTTGCTTATTTTGACAAATGAAATACATACAGGAATCGACCAGACTCTCCACAACCGTCATGCGTCAAAGTGGAACGTTGCTGTCAGCCGGAGACTCCCCAATCCTCTAGGCGAACGTTCGTATACTCCGTGGCGGTCTTGCCCATGGCAAGAGACCGTCTGAAGCATGGTCTACAAACAATAGGAACTCTTCCATCGGTACATTATGCAGGGAATCGATCTCCCATCGGTACATTTTGCAGGGAATTGAAGGAGCGCATGACGACGGTTGCAAACAGCACTCACGAACATTTTGAAAGCAACCTGACTAGGGATGTTCACGTCACAAGCGTTGACAACATCAAGCACCGACGACGACATGTTCTTGCTCGTTCTGGCCCTTCATTTTGAATTGCTCCTGCGGCGAACCTGCGTGCACAATTTGAAGTATTTGTAGCTAGCCAGACGAGGTTACGCCGTGGCTGCGACGATGACCTTTCGTGCTGGTTTGGATCATCCTGAGCATTGCACACACCAGTACGAGTCAGGAACATCATTCGACCTCCCCGTCATCCGCTGCCATGTCGGCCAAGATGGCGGACTAAACGGTGCGAAACGAGATTATTCAGCGAATGGCATTGGAGAATTTGTGGAAAATGTTTCGGCCAATTGCGAATTTAAATGACTCCATTCTCCTCTTGGATTGGTTAAATTTCCAAAAAGATTTCCGTGAGTGATGTTCTCTGCCAACGAACGTTGTCGAAGGGGTCCGTTTTTATTTCATTTTCACAGGTAATACGAATTTAATTTAGGAAGTTTTATATGTAAGGAGAGACTACTTTTCATTATATTGCAACCGAATTCGTGAAACGGACATATTTTATTTCAAACCATCCCCATCTCATCCACTCACCGACGTAGAGGAAACGCTGTCATTGCCCAACAACTTGCTGACATGTCCAGCCGCAAGCAACAGAGCCGCCGCACGAGCCGCAGCATCGACATCCCTTCAGCTGCAACTCCTGCGACGGTGCCCTCCGACGTACTAAACTCCCCTGACCAAGAACGAACACATGCCTTCGAAGAGTACGCGATGAACAGTGCCCCGTATTCATCCCACGACGTCGGCGCCGACTTCTCCCTCCACCATAGCCTCGACACCGACCACGTCCAGTTTGTGCCGGCGGGCGCAAGAGACCTCGCGGAATCTAACCACATGTACCGCCACGCATCCATTCACAATGCATTCGCGTCAACTTCACCCTTCGTACGTTGACCGTCGAGACCTCGGCCTTTCCGTGTCACGAGGGCCTCATCCATGTGCTTATAGGCGTCGTACAGTTCGTCGCCATTGACCAACTCTGGTTTTTACAAGGGTGCCGTCTATAGCGCGTCGCCCCCAATGATGCCCATGCTTGGAAAAACACCAAGTCCCGAGAGTCACCTGCAGAGCACACCGTTCATCGTCCCAAGTACCGTTGGCCCCTCGTCGCCACTGCAGTCTTTCGAAAAGCAATCTCCATGTGTTATCTCACCCCCGACGATCGAAGTCGGGCTAGAGCAACAAGACTGCCCCGTGCCGCCGTTGCATGTAAAGGAGCTGTACCACAAGGTAAACCCATCCTTCCCGACCAAGTCAACCCCCGAAGAATGCCTCGACTTCTTCGCCAACACCATGTCGTCATTGGGCTTTCAGTACACAATCCAAAAGCCGTGGACGGTCGCCGTCACGGGGCTGCTCTGCGTCGAAGAAGTCGTGTTTACCATCCAACTCAAGCAGGACACGGACAACGTCGTCGCCGACTTTCACTTGCAACAGGGGTGCGAACGCAACTTTTTGCGCCTGTTTGAAATTGTGCGAAACCATGCGCGGTCCCTCGACGCCCAACCCATGTACGATCGAGTTCTCTCTCCCCTGTTGGGCTCGTTCAGAGCGCTGTCTTGATGCATTTCCCACATCTCTCACATGTTTGTCTGTAGCCCTGCTGCATTTGCTTCGTCGGCGGACTGGTTGAACGTGGATTCGATGCCAGAACTGTTTCCCGGGTCGTCTCTCCTGACGGCGGACATGCTGCTCGAGTACTGTGAAGACTATTTGCAGTTGGCTGAGGACAGCGCGACGTCCACCAGTTCGCGTGGCGACGCAGCAAGGTTGGAAATGGCGGCTTGTATCAAGAACGCGTGCTTGGCCGACAAGAATCGCGAGCTCGTGATCAAGTCGCCTGACCTGGCTGTCGCGTTCGGGTCGGCGCTGTACCGCATGGTGCAAGACGACGTGGGTTCGATTGTGCGGTTCGCAGTGTTCATCCTGAGTCTCTTCGACGTGGCGAGTCTTGTTAGCCTCGCGGGTCATGTCCACGTCATGCTGGACAGCGAGATGTTGTCTATCTTGGACAAGATGGAGACCCACGACCCGATTCCGAAAATGAAATCCATCGCGGCGTCCGTGCGAACGAAACTAGTGCCGTCGAATTAACTTATGCTGCAAGAACGTAATACATTAACATCTTCCTTGTCAACACACAAATCCGAATCTCGCCGCAACTCGCCAGCACACGTTGCCGTGAAATACACGCGACCACAGCACGTCGTTCGTGATCGCGTTGAACAGAGTGCGAAACCCTCCGAAACATGCGTCTACGGTCAGGTGATGGAGTGTCATCGAGTCAAAGCCACACGTCTGCAGTGATGTCCGTGCGACGAGAAGCGGCACACGGCACTTACACTGTCCTCTCAACCAGACGGACCACTGCCTTCAGGTTGCTGTCCCGCACGGCCGAGAACAACGGCATGGACCCAACACGCAGTGTTCACCGCAGCACGGGGCCCAGTTTTCCTTGATTTTCTGTACCGTTGTGCTTTCGAACGGGACGGGACAGTTGACACGTCGGCAACGGACGCCGCAGTCACCGAGTGAGTCCGTGAGGAACGCGACGTCGCCCCAGAAAAGCCAGGTGGACAATTCTCCAACAGCGCGAGTGCTCACGACGAATGCAATAAATTAACGTGAATCATCCTGCGAGGAGCGACGGCTCCTTGGCGTGTGACACAATTACCGGTTGTACTTGTCGAACGAATACACGTGGACGCGCTTGCGTCCGCCGGCCGCCAAGTACTCGCGCTCGACCTGCGCGACAAAGTCGCGGGGACCAGTCACGTACAGTTCAAATTGGGGAAGCGACGGCGCAATTTCAAGCAGCTTGGCTTGGGTCACTTGAGGCGAGAAATGGATGGGGTAGTCGCCGACGCCTTGAGGGCACTGGAACGCTTCGACGTCTTCGATCGAGTCGGCGCACTGCAGTGCCACGACATGGCCGTTGTACACGTCGCGGACACTGCGCAGACCTTGCATCATGGCCACAAACGGAGCACACCCGATCCCGTGACTGACCATGAGGACGTTGGTAGGGAGACTGTCGGGGGTGTCGATCTCAAAGTTTACGTGCGATTCGATCCAAAAGAGCCGCAACTTGGACCCAATTGCTTGACGGCACAGCCAGTCGGACGTTGTGAGGTCGACGACAATGTCGAGCGTATGTGTGGGCTTGGTATGGAAGGACGCAATGGGGAAGCAGCGCTTGGTGTCGCCTGCACCAAGAAGGACGCCGTCCCCGGGCTGGAAACGCAGGGGAAAGTCATAGTTGAGGGTCAGGCGGCGCGCGTTGGGCGCGACGACCTCAATGGCCGACACTGTGCACGGCAACGATTCCTGCGCAGGTTCGGGGGCGCGTTTGGCAATGACAGGTAGCAGGAGGTAGTACAGAAAGCAGTACGCAGTCAAGTACGCTTCCTTGACTTCTTTCGTCCAGATGCTGCCACTGATCACTTCCAACGTGCGGATGAGAGTGACCCCCATCGTCGTGTAATCATCTTTACGCACACCAAACTTGAGGTGGCCCTCCGCGAGCGTCTGCATTCGCTCAACGATGTTGCTGGTCGACATAACGCCCGTCATCACCTTGATGATCGACGCCAGCGATTTGCCTTGAAGCGTCAAACTCGAACGGAAAATGCAGCGAAGGGACGGCATGACAGCAAACAGAAGCGAGTAGAACGTGCGGTGAAAGAACTTGTCTGGCGAGCCGTGCTTGGTCGAGTCGAAGGCGTTTGTGCCGCGGCAAATGGCCGACCAGTTTTGCTTGATGAGCGCAACGTGACGGGGCGTGAGCACAGGCATCTTGATTTCGAACGGCATGTGCTTGGCGTATTCTTGCGCGTAAGCGTACGTGATGCCGATCGCGCCGTCCGGTGTGACGAAGATCGTCTTGGCGTGTTTCGTCGAGAGATTGCCACCCATGGCGTGTTGGTCCAGGCGGATTTCGAAATGAGTCGGTCAATGAGCCGGTAGCTCGGGGCATCTGGGTGAGGGTGGCGGCGACAAAAAACCGACGAAACCCGCGACCACACTACCAGCCGGCGACCATTTGTACGCTGAGTCCACCGGCCTGTCAATCAATTTCCACCTGACGCTCTTGATCGAGTGGCCACGACTTCAAGATCGCATTTTTTAACACTCTACTTGGTCACTGTATGCAATATTAATACTGGGCGAGGGCGAATACTGTATGCACCCACACGCCGCCGTGTGTCGGTCGCAGGAATGTCACGATGCCGGTGAAGGAGCGTCGCCCGATCTGCCCGCATCGGACCTCCCTGACGACTCGTCATCCGTGGAGGACACTGATATGGGAGTGTTTGCCCGTCCCGTCCCCCCGTGTTCGAGGGCATAGAACAACCGCACCAGCGCTCATCACAGTCCAGCTCGGATGGCCAGTCGTGGTGGTGGGGTGCGGGATTGGCCCGGAGGTTCCATGGACTACACAGTTGGATGCGGCTGCCCCGTTCTCTTCATTTCGAGGGGTCAGTCGAGGTTGGCGTTGACGAATTTGTCACATCTGGAGCGAAGCCGCTGCGGCGCAACGACGGCGTACAGTACCGTGAGTGTGGGATACTGATTAAATCAATATTTGCTTACAATTGATATCGTTGAAAGATCCATATAGAGAGGTTCATCGTGTTGGCTGGCCGACTCGAGCGCTACTGGGGAAGCGATCGCATTAGATGGATTGCAATGCCCCACGTCACTCATCTTTCGTGTTACATCGTTAAACTTGTAGGATTTAGCAAAACATGATGCACAACAGTGTCAGTGAACCTTGCCGAAACGTGGAAACCCCGACCATCGACCGCATTGTGTGCAATTCGAGGACGGATTTGTCCCGACCTTGCTTCACTATGAGAGATATAAATACGTTTGCTGTGCTCCATGCGAATGCACTCGACACGTTACGCCTTCAAAAATTCCCACCACACGTCCTTGGAGAGTGCTAAACACGAAGTTGATGTGAATTGAGGAGAGGATGGCATTGTAAATGCAAACAAAAATGAAAATTGCAAACGATGCATTTGGCATCCGAACATGAAGTAAATGGTTCCACTAATCTTTCGCAACGTGGTGGTGGCAGCAAACCAAGCGACTGCATACGCAAGCACGACTTTGGGCATGACCTCTATCACATTATGACTTTGTTCCACCTTATACCTCCCACAATCGATTCGTGCCCCACGTGCACAAGCGGTGTAGCATGCACGGTACACAGCGTTTGCCGTTCGTACCACCATGACCCAGACACTGGCTCCTTGTAGAGCGATCGAGCGGCGCCGGCACCCTCAGTTGCCCGCACCTGACCAGGACCCGCTAGCCAGACCACATTTGGAGCTGCCGCTGCGCGCTGGGAGGGTATCCTCTTGGATGCAAGCACAAGGATACGTGACAGATTGATCATGATACATGCCCTAACGGTCGCAGCGCGTCGTGGCTCGTATGTACAAGAAGCGTTGATGACACACGCCGTCAGACGATGGTTCGTTCTCTGTGGTCAGAGCTGAACACGGGCAGGCCGCTCGTGCCGCAGCCACCTCGATCGAATCTCCGTAGCTACGTACGTTGGCCGTGGATTGCGTCGCACGACGGGTAATGTGCATTCCACCGGAGAGCGGTCGCGAATCACAGGCGATATATCCTACCCCGGGCATAGACTTGCCCCTTCAGGGCTGCAGTGTTCCCTGGGCTAGGGGCTTGCAGGAGATACAAGTGGTTTCACAAGACGGACAAGGCGCAGTGCAACTCCAAGCGATGAGGAATTGCTGGTCGCTACGAGTACGTACTCCCGAGGGGTGGGCGGATACAGGGTTGGACAGTTTTTGACCAGGGCGAGCACCACCACCGCAAGCAAACGGCGGCTACTGAGTTTCTAAAAACAGCACCTGGCGTGCCAAGACAGACTCGCACGACGGGCCAGTTTCAACCGTGATCTCGCAGACTTCTGATCAAAACAGGGTCGTCAGAGGATTCATCACAACACAGCACGCCCATGACGTCGGACGCATCTTCAACGTCGGCGACAGGCGACAGTGCCAGCCCACCCGCCTCCCTTCAACAAACGACCCATTACGCACGGCTGCGACGTCTGCTAGGGATACCTCCACCCAAACACCTTAGAGGCGAAACGTGGTCGACCATGTTTGGGATGCGTGTGCTTGCGATTCTGCACTTGGCCTACTGGAGCACGCTCCATTGACGCCCCCCAGAGGAAATGGATGGTTGTCAAAACCGCTCCAATGGTTTGTTGAACCCTACAGCATGCGGAGCACTGGCACGCTGCCTCGTCACATCTTGCCTCGTCGCATGAAAATAGCCGGCCAATCGAATCTTCGTCCGATGTACAGCCGACTTATCGCAACTGAGATGCCGCACCGTTCGGTGTGTGCGCGAGGTTTATGCATCCAATTGGGGGCGCCGACCCTCGAACAGAATAATTGGCGGCAAGGTGTTGGTCGAAGGCACGGTAGCGAGGACGGTGGGGCAAGTTTGGGTGTCGGAGCAATTCGGATTACAGTGAGCGACGGAATATGTCTTCAGTGAATCTACAATTTTACATCAATATTGTCTCAGCATTCAAGCTGCAAGAAGAAAAAGTGCCCATGCGCGACATGTACGTACATGTCAGGACCTAGTACTGCACATGATACTTAACTATCATGCATCATTGATGTTGGAATTCCTTTAAAAATATTGCAGAACCTTGCTCACTTCATACTCGTTGTAGTAATATGTCGCCGTTATTCACAATCTGCGAAGGCATCGAGGGGACCGAGATTAGGGCTAGTTGACATTATTGTATTTCAAAGGTAGAGTATGAAATAAAATTGGTAGGAAAGCTGGATATTATTTTACAATGCAAATATTACATTTGAAAGTTATTCGGTATCAATGTCACGTTGTCCAGAAGACGACTCCGACGAGGAGGAATCAACATGACGGAATGGGCACGACAACGACGGTTCTCGATCTCCGGTATTCTGTCCACACCTCCTTGACGACTTTCAAGCTACGTCCTAGGACCCGGGAGATCGTTTCGGACACGTTGCGGGTGTTTTCACGGCGATAAACAGCATGGAGACGGAGTATATCAAGACGTTCTTCTTTAGTAAGATTTCTTGGACGCTTAAGTCGAATGTAGTTGGTAATGTCATCATATTCGTCGTCGCTGATGGTGGCCATGCCGAACTTCGTGAATGGACGACACTGGCACCACAGTATAATTCTAAAGAGGTAAGGCTTTCACAGGTCGAATTAATTAAAATATTACCCCTCGAAACTATTTATCCGGTTATAGAGGTTTTTGGGTTTGGTGAGAAATTTGGATAAATTGCTCTACTTTCCGCAAAATATCTCAAAGGTTATGCATTTTCAAGATTTGCATTCATTAACTGTAAACAACTTGTAGATGCCACTGAGCTCTGTCCACATACAAATTTTCAGAGGAAACCCTTATATGGTTATAGAGATATGAATGAAAGTCCCCTCGATGCCTTCGCGGACTGTCAATAAACGATATGTCCTCCTAGAGATACAAACCGCCCTAAGTTGACCATACAATAAAGCTACAACTTCACAAGTAACAAGCAATAAGACAATCAGCATTTTTAGTTCATCAGGCTGTTTTGACAATTCATTCAAAATAGAATACCAACAAATATAAAATATATAGAAAATTCGAATATTTTAAATAACGAGGGAGAGCTCCCGCCTGACGCCCGAGTGGTACAGGGTATGCCGTCGATGCACGACAAGCCAAGCAGTCAGTGTGCGCTGGAACCTCTGCACGACCGTTGTAGAATCCTACAGGACCTTACACAAATACAGCTCGCAATAAGCACTTGTTCAATAAAGTTCAACATATTTTGTCCTCCCCATACTCTGTGAGCAAAGGAAAAATGTCCCCAGAGGTACTAGAGAAATATCATGAAATATTGACAATAGAAGTACCCCGTACAAGAATTGACAATATATAAATTCAATCTGCTTTAGACATGAAAAGCCTTACAAAAAACGACGTGAAATAGACTGCTACATTTATCTGTGATTGGTCCGAGGGCATGAGAGTATTGTCCAATCAGGGACTACGAACTTTGGAGGTTTCGACAAAACAATATAAAATTGTGATCTCTTGATATAGATTCTGCAAGGTTATAATTAAAAAACGAATCAACCTCATACATTGGAGTTGACTTGACGTTATGTTCTTGCAGGTAGTATTAATGATTAAAATAGATAATTCATTTCAAATCCCCACTGTCAGGATAAGTGTGTGCTCATAACTTGGCTAGGGGACCCACAAAATGTAACATGACCAGTCAAAAGATATTAAATTAAATATATTATTAAGTCAAAAATAAAAAAGTATACGGTACTAGTATGGGTCAATGGAACTACAAACATCTCCCCCCCATGGTCTCCCCGTAGAACAGAGTGGATAGGGAGCCGCGCAATGCTCACTCGGCGAATTCCGGTACTTTACCTCATTCGTCATGTGGGAATAAATGTGACGAGGCATTTGATCCCACAGACGATAAACCTCCATAGATTTATACAATGGCAAAGA